TTTCGTGTGGAGAAAATAAATGATAAAAAAAAAATGTAACCTTGAGTTGGAGTTACGTTCTTACTTCGGGGGAACGACAAACTATTCAATTTATTTTTTAGAGGAGTGTACTCGTGAAATTTTTTATCAAATTTGTCCGATTCTCGCATGAGATCGGGGGAAAAATCGGTGAAATTTTCAATTAAAAATGCCCAAAATTCCCTTGGTAAAAATGCAATTAATGGACGTATTTCTGTCAAATAGGACTATGTGCATTATGACGTGAGCCCTGTTATGCACGTGTTCTTATGGGCCTAAGCGCTCATGTCTCAATGCACTTAGTTCTGTTTAGGAGAAAAACGTCCAATTGGACTTCATTTTGCAATTAGTACTACTATTTCTGGCACTTCCGCAAAAATACTTATGCACATAGGAAAACTTATGGTGCATATGTTGTTTCTATATTAGGCTAAAAATTGTAGTTCTGAATTGCAATGTGTAGTCCAATTGAAAGCGTGAATTTTTCAGAGTGTGGATATCGTTTGTTTTTTCTTTTTTCATTCCACACAGCGTACTTTTCCTACAGTCCTCTTTCAGTCGTCACTCTCAGAAAAAGAAGACGTGGTGAAGGCCACGGCCTGTAAAAAGTGTGAGGAACTGAAATATCAGATAACGATATCCTCCCCTTGGTAATCATTGCGGAAACTGAGTCGGGAGTGAAGGTAGGTGTTTTTAGCAATTTTCACGTATGATTTTCTCCGAGGCAAACCCGAAACTCAGATGCGTTCGGATGAGATGTTTCTGGACCTCTCAGAATACTGTTCTATTCAAATGTTTCCGTTCTTGCTTATGCTACCGTGGAGGTTGCTGCAATTTTAATTTTTACATAGGAATATTTAAGTTGGATCAATGGAAAGTCCAATTAATTAAACCCGGGTGAGAATTTTTGTTGAATTAATATAAGATCTTGTTTCAGACGGTATTTCTGTATATAGCAACGAGACATCCTTGCCCGGGCGAATTTCGTGTTTGATCGATAAAAAGTCCGATCAATAATTTCCGGGCAAAAAATTCTCGTTGAGTCAGTAGAAAATTTCCTTCTTTCAGACGGTTCTTCTGCTATACCAAAGAGACACCCTGTCACAGTAAAGAGATTTCCGGTTGACCCGACGAGAATACTTGTCTGAGAATTATTAGCCAAAAAAATTCTTTCAGTGCATTGACTTAACCTTAAGAGCATCTCAGTTAAACCAAACTGAATGTATTAATGCTAAAAGAAACCATGTTGCACGAAAATTCTATTCATATGGTTCGTTTTAGCGTAAAGTCGGACAGATACTATTGGCGCTCCCCAAAATATTTATTGCCTACGCGGCGAATTTGAAGGCGAACCTCGTACATCAATCAACATTATTCTACTTCAAAATTGGTACAGAACATCTCTGCCGTGCTAGGAAAAAATGCCGTATAAACCTTCAGACGTTGCCAAATTCCCTTTGATAAAACACGAATTTCTCGGTAAACGTATAAATATTTTCCTTCAAAGTTTCAGCTAATTTTGTTCACAATTTCACCTCAAATTCCTGAAAATTTCAAGGAAAAATATTCATAATTTTTTTCAAATATAAACATTTTATCCAAGGAAATTTGGCAACGTCTGCAGGTTCACACGGCGTTCTTCCGTAGCACGGCAGATCTCTAACATAGGGAAGACTAACCACGATAGTTTTCAAGAAAGCAGGCTGAATAATTTTCCGTTGAAAGAATTAGAAATGGCGCGCAGTTCTGCGAAGCTGCAATTCGAGACACGTTGTTGGGAAAGTCTGCTGTTGATTTAGAACGTAAAGTACTTTTCCACGTGAAGGGAAGGTTATGCAAGTAGTCGGACATTTCGAGGAAAGGTCGAAAAAAGAGTTTCAGAGGTGAAGGATGACGTATTTTAGAGCCGCATGAGGCATGAATTTTAATGAAGCTTAGCCCTAATGAACTGAGTTGAGATCAAAATACACATGACTATACATTCAGTATAGGTGAAATCACGACGAACATACCAGGAATCTCTGAAATCTGCTTCTCAAAGCACGATTTGAGCATTTCGCACCGCGCAATTCCACTCATACACTGCATTGCATTTGTTCTCGGCCGCTGACAGTCGGGTTTGCTCAGGAGGATGTAAAAAAACATACATACATAAAAAGCTGCTCTCACAGCGCTCTATGACGCTCTGCGACACCTAGCCGCCAAATTCCCTTTTCCTTTCAAAGCCCTTCAGGGGTTGGCAATCCCTCATTTCCTCTAATGGCCACGCTATCACGCTGCCGGAGAAACGCCGCGCCGTATGAACATTCAAGAGTTGCCAAAGTTCCTCTCAGAAAATGATTATTTTTGAGGAAAGTTATGAATATTTGTTCTTAAGATTTTCAGGAACTTTAGGAGCAATGGACCACTAGACAAGGTACGAATTTCAACATTCTGATACATATTTCGAAACCAAAATTTCACGTAAAACACGATGCGCACAACGAAAATTACCGATATTAACTCCTTACGAAGATATTTAACGATTCTTGGTGCGTGAATTCAAACTACCCGCTCATGGAAACTCAATGTTCTATGTGATTCACATCGCGCACTAAACGTTATCATGACAGTCTCTGCGATATGAAAATCTGGCGACCTCAATCTTGACGCTTTGGCTCAGCTATAGCAAATAGCTTATAGTTTCAACAACACATGATGGGAAATTAACATTGCTCGATTGAAAAGCTTGCTGAAACCGCTATAGTGCGCGATTGGACTCACGTGGAGCTTTGAGTTTCTTGTGAGCGGGCAGTTCAAATTCCTCGTAACCAATGTAAAATAAAAACGTTAATACCTATCTTCGTTGGAAGTTGGTTTCAGTAATATTCGTTGCGTGAATCGTGTTCTACGTGACATTCTGGTTAAGAAGCATGCATTAGATTGCTTAAATGTGTACCTTGTCTAGTGGTCCATTGCGAAATAGAATTATCTGAGAAATTGGAGGAAAAATATTTGCAAATTTTCCAGAAAATTCATGATATACTAAATGAAATTTGGCAACACCTGAAGGTCCATACGGCATTCTTCCTTAGCACGGCAGCACTGGACGTCCTTTTCGGCTCCTCTCAGCGGACTGATTATTGAAATTGATGGACAAAGCTATAGACAAAGAAGACATGGGGAGTATGGAGCAAGCCTATTGGTTGACATGGGTGGTTCCTATAGACAAAGGGAGAAAATGATAGACTAACTATCGGGTCTCTCGTGGGTTGCCGTTAGTTAGTCTATTACCTACCTCCTTTGTCCATTGCAACCACTCGCTTCCACCAATAGGATCTCTCCATATCTCTTTTGTCTCCTTTGTCTATAGCTTTGTCTATCAATTTCAATAATCGGCCCGCAGGAGGACCCAATCAAGTATCTTCTTTGGCAGCCTTTCTCCCGTCATCCTGTTAACACGACCGGACCAGACAAGCTGTTCGGTCATTACGTCGACCACGATGTCATTTTCGACTTTCATGATCTGACGCACTCTTTCATCACGGACCCGATTTCTCCTAGAAATTCCTGCCGACCTCCTTCAGAAATCCATCTCCGTTGCTCTTAGCATAAAATATCCTCTGTCCATATCTGCAGCCGCCAAACTTCACATCCGTACGTTAAGATACGACTCTTAACTACAACGTTGTAAATCCATTTTTTTGCATTTTTTTCGGATGAGAATTAAAGTTGGCTCAGGACTGAAGCCCTCTAATAATTGTGGAATCTCTGGGTCTTAAGTGGCTAAATGGGCGTATTTCTGTCAAACGGAACTAAGCGCCATAGGGTGAGGAAGGTAGAAGGGGGAGGGGGGGGCTTGGATTGGCGGCGAAACCGGGCGTCGCGTCGGGCTCAATGCTATCATTCCGTTCTATACTCGCAATGCTTTTCCATGGCGCTTAGGTCCGTTTGACAGAACGCGCTATCCGGGATTCTAAATTCCTCAAAAGTAACTTAAATTGGCGCTTAGTTCCGTTTGACAGAAATACGTCCAATTATCCATTCACCAGGTCATCACGAAAAAAGTTGGAAATTCCAAAAGGCAAATTCAAAATTTCAGCCAGCCAAGGCCAAGCAACCAACCCAAGTCATTAGGGGCCCTTCAAGTCTAGGGTGCACACTTCTCGTGTTAAGTTTTTTTTTTTTTTATCTTCCTCAGTTAGCGAAACATTTGCTCTGATCTGTGTATGCACGCATTTCAAAAAAGATACATACTACGCGAGGTATATCGATGACGCAAGTTAAACGGGCGGCCTAGGTGCGAATTTTCAACCTGATTTTAAGATCGATTCGTGGACATTTTTTTCCTTTTACAGTAGCGCGAATCCTTGCGGAGCGTCTTTTTTTGGGATTGCCATTTCAAGCTCTCTGACGTGGTCGACATGCGATAAATCGCATCTACTGGATAGAAAATCTCGGCAGATTTCAAATTTTTAGTCAAACAAAGGACGATAGCCCCGGCGCAAGAGTCTAGAGAATCATATTAAACAAAAAAAAATTGACAAAACTCAGCGAAATGAGAGCAAAATAGTGTTAGGGAAAAAACCTCGCATTCGACACAGTTATCGATTTCTGTATCGAATGTGAGGTTTTTTCCCTAACATTATTCTGCTTTCATTTCTCTGAATTTTGCCAATTATTTTGTTTAAAATGATTCTATAGACTCACGCGCAGTAGCTACCGTCATTTTTTCTGCTAAAATTTCGAAATCTGCCGAGATTTTTGACCTAATCGATGCGATAGGTACATTGCAAGCTAGTTCGACCACGTCACTAGAGCTTGACGAATCACCTTAAGTGCTCCTGTCGAAAATAGTTGGCATGGTTGTAAATGCACTTCAATGTAGAAAAGGTACATGTCAATCCCATCATTTTCATCTCGCGAAACTTTTACGCGCCTGGGTAATGTATGATAGGAGTCTCATTTTTTTTTCAATCGTAGCGGTGGTGTGGTTTTTCCCCCGCACTAATCATCAGTCGGTTGCGCGCATCGCACGCATATGGTAGTCATGGTGGGATTCTAATCATCGACAAATAATGAGGTACGTCAAAAAAACTATATTTCTGCGTTTTTCTTTTAAAGTTGCGGCAAATGTTTCTAAAAAAGTGAAAACACATATCCAAATATCATTAATGTGAAAATCAAATGACATCTAACACTTTGAGAAGGAAAATAAAATAAAATAAATAAAAATATGCTACATACAAAGCCTACGCAGTTCATCACTTTTGGCATGAAAAGGACCAAATGAAATTTGATATAAGACGGATTTAACAAAAATCAGCGTATCCTTATCCTTTTGGTTCTGGGCATGACTGAATAACTGCGTAGAAAAACATGGATTGTTGATTTAACAATTAAATTGTTAAAAGGTATGTCCAACATGTTTCAAATTCACATTTTACAATAAAGAAAAACTTGTTCAACCACAAGGGTAGTCAAATTAGCATTTTTTATTGCAAAATCTACATTGAAACATACTGGACACTTTTTTTAACTACAAAATTGTTTGAATCAGCAATATCATTTTTCCGCGTGGGTAACTGCATTTCACGGTTGGTGCAATATTTCCTTTACAGTCTTACTTTTTCAATAAAGAAACAAACAACATTACGCCCAGTATGTCCCTTTCTCTAATGAAACACTCACAAATTTCAAATCAGAATTTAGATTCGTTTTCTGTTGAAAAAATTAAAACGAGAAAAAAATAAAAATTAGGCAACATCGGTTGTGGTTAGACCATTTCTGGTTGAATCCGTCCAACTATAAATCGTTATAAGCAAAATAATATAGCTCAGCCTTGCGGTCTAATATTTTTTAAATTTTTATTTTCTGTAAATGAAATCTTTATTTTTGATCATTAGAGGGAAAAGGGTCTCGGTCCGCGAAGAAATAATTTTCAGTAGGCGATTCTGGTCGAGTTGGATGTAAAAATCGGTCTCTCGGATTCGACAGAAAACCCTAATCTGTGCTATGACTGTGAAGAGTTATTTGCGATCGGTTTCGTTCGTTTTTTAACCTACAGAGGTACAGCTGCACTATAATTCGTAAATGGATTTGTTGCACGCAAGAGATTGTTTGTTGCGTCGGGTTAGGTATGCTCTGGGAAATTTACGAAAGCCTGTTACAAATGAGACGGATTGTCTGCTTTAGAGTGGATTTTAGACTTTTTCGTTGTGGCTGAAAACCCTTTCGTGCGAGGTTTGAATTCAATGACGCTACAGCACATAACCACTCTAATAATGTACTAAGTGCAGTGCGCATGGGTATATGACAAGAGGCATGGCATCGAAGTGCGACCCTTTCGCTTTATGCCGTCACCGCTGAGAAACACCCTGGACCCAAATTTTTTTGGGCACTACTGACGACATTCATTCAGGTAGACCGTGCATCCTGTGTTACGGAAGGCGTGACAACTTTTAAAATTTTGCATGCCGATGAGTGTTAGCTCCGACCCGCATCGATGAGTCCGTGTGTCCCAATTGCGCACATCTGAGCATGCGCAGTAAGCATCTACCCGGCATCCTTCAATTGAATGGTTAGGTCACCCAAAAACACCAAAACAGGGTACCTGCATAGAAAAGTCTGCGCAAAACATCAAAAACAAAACTTTAAATACGTTTTTCTCAAAACACGGTTTCCATGCAGTTATAGGCTGTTCTTGGTGCGATGTCCTCAATTGAAATAGCCCTCAGACACGCTGGCCTTGTCGATTTCCTTTGACATTTTTGCAGTCATGAATGCATAGCTTAAGTGCGCTCCAGCTAGAATTGTATACAGCAAATGGGTGGTTTTCATACGAGGATTAAAAATAAACAAGTGGTACGGAATATAACAAAAGAATATGAAGTATGCAAAACGATAATCCGGGTATCGGAACTTGGCTGTTTTGAAAACGCCTTCAAACGCGGCGTGATACCTCACGCATTCCGGAGAGTTCAAATAGTTGTATCGTTGCGCCTTAGAAATGCGACGGAAGATCACAATTGAAATATCCTTCATACACGCTGTGCTTGTCGATTTCCTTTGACATTTTTGTAGTCATGAATGCATAGCTTAAGTGCGCTCCAACTAGAAATGTATATAGCAAATGGGTGGTTTTTATAGGAGGATGAAAAATAAACAAGTGGTACGGAATATAACAAAAGAATATGAAGTATGCAAAACGATAATCCGAGTATCGGAACTTGGCTGTTTTGAAAACGCCTTCAGACGCGGCGTGATACCTCACGCATTCCGGAGAGTTCAAATAGTTGTATCGTTGCGCCTTAGAAATGCGACGGAAGATCACAATTGAAATATCCTTCATACACGCTGGGCTCGTCGATTTCCTTTGACAATTTTGCAGTCGTGAATGCATAGCTGAAGTGCGCTCCAGCTAGAATTGTACATAGCAAGTGGGTAAATTTTATAGGAGGATTATAAATAAACAGGTGGTTAGGAATGAAAAAAAAAAAAAAAAAATAATATGAACTATGAAAGACGATTATCTGGATATCGGAACTTGGAATAGTTGTGTCATTGCGCCTTAGAAATGCGACGGAAGATAACAATATTGAACTTCTAACCCGGAGAACGAAGGCCGACCAGCCGCACCCGGGCCATGAAAATGGGGGAGGAACGGAGGACCCTGCAGCTGCGCTTATACGGACCCCCCCCCCCCTGCCGTTCTTAAAAGTCAAGAACTCAAAATTGCACTCCTTTTATCACTTACAACCTTTTTTATCCTTATTACACTTACTACGGTTTAATGATTAATTGCCTTAAAAACTCTCTTTTTGCAGGGAGAGTTACGAAAATTGCCTAACTTCAATAATTGCCTGAAACTGTGCAACGCTGCGCTGTAACGGCATTTGTTATCATCCGATCTTAACCATCTTGGACTTGTTTAAATGGAAATTTTATGTACTTTAATTTAGATAATAACTACTTTTGCCGTAATTTCCGTAATATACGAGTTATTTCGGTTTTTTGGCCGAAAAACGCAAATTTCGGCCATTTTTTCAAGATGGCGGCTTTGGCTCGCCGCAGATCTGTTCGCAAATATGAAATTCGGATTCAGCGATGAAAAATACATAGGAAGTGTATATCAGAAAGTTTCCTCAGAAATTGTCTCTACTTTACCCTAGAGTACCTGTATAGCGAGAGTATGGACAGATCGCTTCATGAAGGGCTTAGGGTCCAAAAGTGCAGCCACCCTTCTAACCAACTTCTGACGCACAAAATTTCACTGCCAGTCTGCAGATTCCAATTCTAACCATGATGGCCAAGAATGTACAGAAATGAGCGTTCTTCCGCGAAATTGAGTAAATTTATGCAAAAACTGAGTCAAACACGTGCTTAATAAACGACGGTTCGTAACAATAGTATTAGTAAATCGTTCTGGATAATTGAAATTCATAAGTTGGCTGCATTTCTGGGCCCTAACTTTATTCGTAGAAGCATCGGTGAAGGCCCGATGGATTTTCAGAGTTTCACATCCGTCCATACTCTCGCTATACATGTACTCTACTTTACCCCCTATTGACTTGACTATTATACTATCTTTACAAACAAATAGAAATCCATCACTTTTTTGCTTTTTTATAGTGCCTGACGCTCATTCATGAGACGCGAAGCCAGCCTGCATCATGCATTTAAGCACCTCCTTCGTCGCAACATGCATCATACTAATGTTTATGATGTCAGAGGTGAGCTTGATGGGATCCCCCCAGCTCTCAAAAGAAAGCAAAAGCAAGAAATTTGGTTGGATACAGTCCATGAACCGTAGCATCAAGCTTGGCGGTTCGTCCAGAGGTTTGCTGGAGACAATCACCAACTATTTCAGTTCTTCCAAGAAGGTGCCTCTTTCCCCGATGAACAGCGTGACACTCGACCCCGAAGACGAAGATCTCCTACGACGGGCCGGGATCATATCCACAATGGGAGGCTGGCTCTCTTCTGTTAGTCCATCCATCATCGAAAATATCAAATATTTATTCCAACGAGTGAAGGTGACACTCGAGGCCCTGCCTGGAGGTAAGGAGCTATCCATAAATGGACTGCGTTCAACAGAGAGGGGCCAAAATTGCCCAATTAGATATGGCAATATCTGGTGGGATACCTGTAAATGCGAGAGGGATACTTCACGGTGGGAGAGAGATATCTGCTCTGCTGAGAGAGATCACTTGGACCGCGTTTAACAGAAAGGAACCAAGCCACATCAGCCATTGCCAAATTTAATTGGGCAATTCAATTTTTTTACGAGAGAATTTTTGTGTGGATTCCTTTGAAAATTTTAAGGAATTTGCTTTGTACTGTAGAGAAAATCCACTGAAATTTGCACGAAAATCCGTGCATCCGTTTTCATGTAAAACATTAAATTGCTCGATTGAATTTGGCAATGGCCGATGTGGCTTGGTTCCTTTCTGTTTAACGCGGTCCACTTGTGGTTGGTCGCGTCAAGGTCATATTGCTTAGCCCCATTTTTTTCTTGGATCAAGTTACAAAGTTTCAGGGGTTACTTTTTTTATCTTATTTAGTGACAAAAGGAAGAAGAACGCTACAGCTAGAACTTGTGACCACAGAGTACAATAGAGTCGCAATGCACTGGAGCGCCGATAAAGTCAATCCATGAACGGGCCATTCCGAGTCCCTTGTTCGCCAGAAGGCGGGAACCATCTGACAACCGCTCGGCATTTTTTAATACGGCACACAGTGGATCGAGTCCATCAGAGAGGTCGGACATGAAATGTTTGACTAAAACAGAAAATTTTGATGTTCATTGCGTCACATTTTAAGTTTTAAGGGGCGTTTCGAGAAGAAAATTTCACCAGAAAACCGATGGAACCACTTTTGGAACCTCAAAGTTTTATATAAATGGAGTTATGTGCGTTTAAGGTATCCACATTTTGTCCGACCTCTCCTATTGGCTCGCTCCACTGTGCGGCGGCTCGTGGGAGAATCGCGGGCTGCGAGTGGTTTTCGGGATTTATTCATTTAAATCAATCATTATTTCCGGAAATTGTGTTCTCGGGAATCAAAACGAATTAAAAAATGTACGACACTCCCGGTTTTTATGAAATACATTTTATACCTGTATTTTCTGAGCCGAAGACCGGAGCTGGGACCCCGCGCGTACGGCATCGCCAGTCGCCGCACACCAGTCTCAGGATTACTGGACAAAACAACCTCAAAAAGTGACTTCATCGGCGCTCCAGAACATTGCGACTCTATTATACTCTATATGTTTGTGACTCTTCGATTTTAACAGAAATCCCTTCAATTTCCATATTAGCTCAAGGACTCAAGTCATTCTGTATGATAACTCTACACTGAAAAAAAAAAAAAAATGCTAAAATACGGTGACAAATCACCAAATTAGTAAAATCAACCCGGTGTTCTTAATCTATTTTGATGAGTTCCCACCTTTTTTCACTATTTCATGTGTTGATTTTAGCAGTTTTTTTGTGACATGGCGTGAGCCGCAAAATGAAAACACAGCGGTGGCGCCTTGGCGCGGGGATTTTGTTTACCTCTCGGAGCTGTAGATAAACCTTAAATCGCGTATTTCTGATCAGGGCCGGATTTTCCTACGTGCCGCCCCCTTCTCGTTCGTTTTGAAACATCAATAAAAACCATCAAGTGAACGTGCCAGCGGGGGAGGGGTGCATAAGACGGGTTTACTCGTGTTGAACACATTTTTTGGGAAAGCCCTGTCAACACTACTAGCAAAAGGTCACGGAACTTTGCGCGAAAGTCAAGTTTCGTAAACCTATATCTAATGGACAAGGCCTTCCATTCATAATAAATGAACGAAAAAATTATCAAAGAACAAACACAAAATTTGGTATAATGATTTGAACTTCCGCCGCCGCGCCGCGCCGACCGCACTGTGCTTGGCGCAATGCGTGAAGTATTCACGCAGTCTTGTAGGCGCTATCCGTTTCACGCTGACCACAATAACCGCACTGTGTATGATGCAATGCGTGAAGTATTCGTGCAGTCTTGTAGGCGCTAATATGTGTTACATGCCGATTGCCGCGCCGAGGGCTTCTCATTTTCATCTCAAGTCCTCGTCATTATTTCTCCCTAAGTCGCGCCGTTCCAGGCCAAATTGTGTGTTTGGTTTCCCTCTTAACTCGACTAATTGAAGGTGCTGCCTCTTGTATCGCTGAAAGACGACAAAATTAGAAATTACTATACTCTCCGGAAATTAGAGATTTTGTAGCCTTTTCTTGTTCGTAACTGTTTTTCTAAATCCGATTTTTCATACCTGTATTAAAAAAATTACAACATTTGCCGCCCCATTTTGCCGCTATGGGCCGCGGCCCATGTGGCCATCCCCTAGATCCGGCCCTGGAGTCGTTCCATCCGCACTGAGACGCTATGCAAAATTCAACATGACCTAACCTAACTCGCCAAAACACACGTGACGAGATGGTATTTTATCAACCGGCGTGTTTATATTTACGTTAAAAAAAATTGCAAAATTTGCCGCCCCCTAGATTTGCCGCCATGGGCCGCGGCCCATACGGCCACCCCCTTAATCCGGCCCTGTTTCTGATATTTCTTCGACTCGGCGGACTTTAAAATGGACCACTAGATAAGGTACGAATTTCAGCATTCTGATACATGTTTTTAACAAAAATTTTACGTAAAACACGATGCACACAACGAAAATTACCGAAATTAACTCCTTACGAAGATATTTAATGATTCTTAATGCGTGAATTCAAACCACCCGCTCATGAAAACTCAATGCTCTACGTGATTCACATCGCGCGCTAAACTTTATCATGACAGTCTCTGCGATATAAAAATCTGGCAACCTCAATCTTGACGCTTTGGCTCAGCTATAGCAAATTGCTTATATTTTGAACAACACATGATGGGAAATGAACATTGCTCGATTGAGAAGCTTGCTGAAACCGTTGTAGTGGGCGATTTGACTCACATAGAGTTTTGATTTTCTTCTGAGCGAGCAGTTCAAATTCCTCGTAACGAATGTGAAATAAAAACGTTAATATCTTCGTTAGGAGTTGGTTTCCGTAATTTTCGTTGTGTGAATCGTTTTTTACGTGAAATTCTGGTTAAGAAACATGTATCAGATTGCTTAAATTCGTACCTTGTCCAGTGGTCCATTGATATTAATATTACATTATCGTTGCAGATGCACCGGTGCTGATGAGCAAGACGGTCGTCATCGAAACGATGAGCCTGAGCGCGGAGCAGATCGACGAGCTGGAGGAGGCTACCCGGGACGACGGCGAGCGACTCCGGCGGGAGCTGCAGACTCGGCTGACGCCGGACCTCTTCGGGCCGATCTGCCTGTATTCGGCCCCCGAGGCCCTCGGCATCTTCCTCACGTCACCGCGCCTCCCCCCGGACCTCTCGCTCAAGGCCTGGCCCGTGCACGCCCTCTCCAAGGTCACCAACAAGGTCGTCACCATGTCCGGCCTCGTCGTCGATCGAGATCGCGGATACTTGGCCGCGCTCCCCGACGGGGTCGTCCAGACGGACGATGCCGTCGTCAAGGTCCACGTCTTGCAACGACCACGGAGGAACGGACGCCTAGAGGCCATCGCAGGTAAGCTCCCATTAGAGTCCCTTTATACTGAGAGTCAAGACAATTTGAATCCATTTCTGATTGGTTCCCGTATTTTAGGCCTCCACAGTGTCACAAACGGGAATAAAGATTACATTTTCACCAATTGCAAAGATTATAATCTGGAATGGACCAGGGAATTACGGGTTCGGCAAGGAACAAACGGAATGAGAGGAGGAACGGAGAAAGGCATTTGAGAATGGGCCGATCAAAGATTACGAAAAACGTTCAATTTCTGTAATCTTTATTCCCGTTTGTGACATCCATGAGCCGAATTGTCTTGACTCTCAGTATAAAGGGACTCTAGCTCCCATTCATCCGTTCGGAGAAACCGTCGGGAAAAACGGAGAGAAAGGAAAATAAGGAGGCGCAGAGGATAGAGTCCCTTTATACCCAGAGTTAAGACAACTCGATTATCAGCTGACTGGCAGCCGGCCTTGGCTGGCCAAGGGGGCCGAAACGAGTGCACCCAAACGAACGATATTGAGGGATAAGGATCAGGAATCCTGCGATGTCTGTCACACAAAAACAACAACATCAACAAATTGATCAATTAAAAAGAAAATGAGATTGGTTTGTGAATATTTTCTTAATCTATTTTCATTTTGGACCGATGGAAATAACAGTTTACTCTTGATAAACCACAATTAGGTAATATTTTCATTACCTATTCTTGTTCGCATTCGAGGCACCGCCATCTTGGTGCACTCGTTTCGGCCTCCATGAGCGAGAGCCAATCGGAATTGGATTTTTTTTTTAGGCCACTTTCAGCCCAACCAAAAGTGAGTTGTCATAACTCAGTAAACTCAGTTGTTCGGGGGTATAAAGGGACTCTAGCAGAAGACAGGAACGGAATGGGATGGGAGGGAGAGGGGATGGGGTAGGGTCAAAAAATAAGCAAGCAAGGTAAGAGGAGGGAATTAGAAGGAATAGCTCAGAGAACCCTCCACCAGTATCTTGGCCATGGTGGAAGCTTTTACTTTCAGGACTTCAGCACTCTATTGTTGACTTGCCTACATGGTTGATGTTTAACAACGCGATGGCGGTTTCGTTTTGCAAACAAGCCGAAAATGGCCCGAAGTTTGGGAACTTGCTTGGCTGATGACGTCATCCGAAGCTTATCATCCACCATGTAAGTAGGTCAACAGCCGGAATTAGGGTGATGACTGTTGCTCTCTTATAATTGAGGACACCGCACCAAGAACAGCCTATAACTTGAACCGCATTTTGAGAAAAACGCATTTAAAGTTTTGTTTTTGATGTATTGCGCAGACTTTTCTATGCAGGTACCCTGTTTTGGTGTTTTTGGGTGACCTAACCCTTCTGTTGAAGGATGCTGGGTAGATTTTGCCATACATTTTGGGTTTACACTCTAATATATTTAATTTAAAAATGCAGTTTTTAGGCAATTATTACGCCCAACAGTCATTTTGGTGGCAATTTGAAGTATAAATAATTTTAATCACGCATGATTAACGGAAAATGAAAGAATATCGATAGTGAGTAAAGAAAGGGGGTAACTAGCACCTTATAGGCCCTTAAGTTTATAGGCCCGCTTAAGGGTCGTTCTTGCACCGATCGATCCAGTGGCCTGACATAACTCGGAAAGAAAAGGTTTTTCGACCTCGAGCCGTTACCTATCTATCGGTACAACAGCATAGTCCAGGGTTCGTAGAATCCGAAAAGCAGATGGGCGTAGTAACGACCTATACGCCTATAGGCTGTTCTTGGTGGGGTGTCCTCAATTGTAATCTCCCGTCGCATTTCTAAGGCGCAATGATACAACTATTTGAACTCTCTGGAATGCGAGAGGTATCACGCCGTATTTGAAGGCGTTTTCAAAACAGCCAAGTTCCGATACCCGGATTATCGTTTTGCATAGTTCCTATTATAATGTTTTATTTCCTACCATTTGTTTGTTTTCATTCCTCCTATAAAAACTACTCATTTGCTGAATACACTTCTGGCTGGAGCGCATTTTAGCTAAGCATTCACCACTGCAAAAATGTCAAAGAAAATCGACAAGCCCAGCGTGCATGGAGGCTATCTCCGTTTTAATCTTCCGTCATATTCTTACGGCGTCATGATACAACTATTTCAACTCTCCGGAGTGCGTGAGGTATCACGCTGCATTTGAAGGCGTTTTCAAAACAGCCAAGTTCCGATATCTGGATTATTGTTTTGCATAGTTCATCGATAGTTCATCAAACGCAAGGATCCCCTCCTGGCGAGATCCCCGATCAATTGATCTTAGATAGGTAATTATGGTAATTGGATAGAAGACCGAAATTTACAGGTGCGTCGTGATTCAATTTTTTTTGTTCCCAGGTGATGCGGTATCAAAGAGCAGTACGATATTTTACGAAATTCAAGGGCTTCTGAACATCACGAAACGCAAGGAATGTATCCTTATCATCGTCACCCGGAGACACATAAGATACGTCACCGTCCAGAGAGACGAAGAGTTCTGGATTAAGAACATGTTGGACAAGATCGTGAATTTCTACGAGACGACACTACTACCCAAACTGTCGGAAGAAATGTTGCCTCGTAAGTTTCTTTCATACTACTTTGACCTTCTAAAAACGATAGTGTTGTGATCAACATGGTGCTAACATGGTACCCACATGGTGCTAAAACGGTCACCTCTCGGGGCCGTTCCTAAAAACGAGAAGATTAGGTCCATCAATCTGTGTTTGGGAGCCACAGATAGCTCGAACGGTATAGGAATGAAATTTGAAGGAACAACGAACGATTCCGAAGTAATCACCCAAACCTCGAGTTGGGATGAGTACCCCACACTAACACGGAAGCAATACGATATCAACATGGTGCTAGTATGGTATCAAATCGTGGGCTCAACATTATTCTTTGTACCATTATGGGTCAATTTGAGCGAGTTGGTACCATGTTGGCACCAAGCTGATATCATGTTACTGCCAGTCTGAGACGAAGATGTATTCAAGAGTTCGCTGTTTGTTTGTCTAATGAAAATTTGAAACAGCACTCTCGATAAACGTCACCGTATAACGTCACGATAACGTCACGTATTAGAGTGAGATTTGCAAAGTTGTTGAATTTTTATCTGAATAATTTTAAAATGCAGATTCTCTCCGGGGTTTTCAGATATGCAGAATGTACGATTTGCAGCAAAACTTGTTTACACTGTCTTGAGCGCGTTGGATAATAAGAGAGTTCGGGAAATTTACAGTAACACGAAAGGTCCAAGCGCCTATGACGTATTGATGAAAGAATCTCGTGTCCGGATAATGCCCGAACATTACTATCTCGTTATGGATCCCGCTATACGGAATAGAGAAAGAGTGAGGGAAATCTTGAAAGGCTATCCTTCGTCCAGAGAAAGCTGGAATCTCGAGCAGGGTTCCAGAAAGAAGTTCCTCGAAAGGTACCGGTCAAGTTGAGAGTCCTTGCGTGCAGTAAGAATACTCCATTGACTCAAATGTTTCTCATTTTTTATCGCTAAAACACGATGGTTACACAGTTTTTTTCTGAAATTGACTCCGAAGATAAAAAAAAGCTTGTACAGTTGAGGTGTAAGGGAGAAGTAACAGGACCTTAACGAGAAAGGATAGTTACTTGATGAATACGCCCTCAACCTTTTTTCTGATTGAAGCATTTATTTCAATAAGGTTCCAACTCTGGAAAACTTTTTTTTTTTTTTTTTTTTTTTTTTTTTGGGGAAAACTAGAACTAGGTACTCAAGAAGCGGGAAAGTTAACACAATATAAAGGTTATTGGTGTTGGAGATATAGCATTAAAAAACTTTGTTGGTGCAACAGTTACAGGACGCCCGCCATATTTTTTTACTGTAAATATTGGATTTTAAGTTTTCAGAGTTCGTTACCATTTCGGAGAAAATGAGATTGAGGTGCTGGAATTTTGTGTCAAAACATAGAAAGCTGAACATATGTATTATTTATGTTTAACATAAACAAACTGAACAAAAAAGCTCGAGAAAAATAAAAATTGGTCACTGTCTTGGGAAAAATATCATCGAAAAATTTTCCCTTTTTCATTACTTTTTTTCTCCTTTTTTTTATTGAGATGGTGAAACTTTTTCTCAAAACGAAAATAGCAAAGCTTATATGTATTGATGACGAGTTAGAACCTTTTTGAAATAAATGGTCAGAGACAAGAAACCCTCCACTAGTATCTTGACAATGTTGCGTTTACTTTCGACACTCCAACCTTCAACTGTTGGTTGGTTAATGACGTGTTGAGAATTTTGGTTTGTAAACAAACAGAAGTTGGGAAACTTGTTTAGCTCATTACGTCATCCGATGCTCATCATTTGCTTTACAGGCAAGATGCTCCCTTTATTGTCCATAAGGAAGTGTTGAATCCCCGAAGGTAATAAAAGCTTCCACCTGTCGCCAAGAGGCCAGTGGGGGGAGGGGAGGGGTGCCTCTTGTCTCTGTAAATGGCTGACAGCCATTGTTATTTGACGCAATTTCGATCGCAATGGGCCTGTTGAAAACTTTTGCTACGGCAAAAATAAGAGTTTCTTATAAATAAAATGTCTCAAAAATCACGATGAGCGGATCGGCAAATTCTGAATTGTACTCCCAACTTTAAAATCTGCATTGCAGCGTTTTTTTAAGCTTCCTCCTTCAAAAACGATACCACGGCACAAGTGAACATTTCGTAAGAGGAGTCGTTCCATACTTGCATCCAACCCTTGTGCACTAGGATGACATACATGGCTGACGCTTCCGCGCGCAAATCGTCAGGAAGCACTATGGACTTTATCAAAGCAAGGAAAATGTACATATAAACACGTCGGTTGAAAAAATACCGTCTCGTCATGTGTGTTTTGGCTGGTTAACGTCGGCTATGTTGAATATTACGTGGCGCCTTAGTGCCCAAGAGTTGGATGGAACGTCCCCTCTTACGAAATGTTTACCTGTGCCGTAGTATCGTTTTTGAAGTGGGAATCAAAAAATACAAAAAAAAAACGCAAATTTCTTACGCAGATTGTGAAGTTAGGAAAGCACTTTAAACTTCACCAATGCGCTTATCGTAATTTTTGAGACATTTACCATGAGAAGCAACTCTTATACAGGGTGTTTCAGACCACCCGTACCAGGCCTTTTTCTCGGTTGGTTTAGGTCGTACGAAGTCGAAGACCGCGGGGTTGAATAGGGAATTGACCCCAAGGAATCCGAATTTCGTGGTCCCGAAACCCCCCCACCCCCCCTTGGGGGGTAAAGGGGGGGTCACGATGCTAAAAGTCACGGTTCCCGACCGAATTGCGGATGGATCGCATCAGAATTGAAAAGCACGGAAAATTTCACGTGAAATTGACCCCTAAAAATCCAAAATCGGACCATCCAAGGCCCAAAGATGATCCCCTAAATAGGGGGACAGTACCCCCCTCCATAATTTCTCTTTGGTCTCAAAATTGACGTAAATTCTCCAGAAAAAGACGGTTTCCCAGGTAATCGACCTCGAGAAATCCAAATTTCATGGTCCCGAAGCTCCTCTAGCCCCCCTTGGGGGGTAAAGGGGGGGCCAAATTTTAAAAATCGGGGCTCCTTTCCGAATCGCAAATTGATTGCATCCAAATTGAGGAGCAGAACACATTTACATCCTAAGTGACTCCTAAGAGTTCTAATAGACCCCCTGAACGGCAGAAAGTAACTCCCTGAGGAGGGGGGCCTCGCCCTCGCCAAAAATTTCTCAGGATTCCTCTTTGGTCGCAAAATTGACGTCGATTCTCCAGAAAAAGACGGTTTCCTATGTAATCGGACCCGAGGAGCTCAAGGAACTTGAAATTTAGAGTCCTCAGGGTCGATTTTTAGGGGTCAATTTCACGTGAAATTTTCCGTGCTTTTCAATTCTGATGCGATCCATCCGCAATTCGGTCGGGAACCGTGACTTTTAGCATCGTGACCCCCCCTTTACCCCCCAAGGGGGGTGGGGGGGTTTCGGGACCACGAAATTCGGATTCCTTGGGGTCAATTCCCTATTCAACCCCGCGGTCTTCGACTTCGTACGACCTAAACCAACCGAGAAAAAGGCCTGGTACGGGTGGTCTGAAACACCCCTGTATTTGCTATGAAAAAAGTTTGGAACAAGCCCATTTCGAAATATCCTCTTGGGGGCCGTCCACAAATTACGGAAGGCACTTCTTCCGATTTTTAGAACTCCCCCCCCTTCCCCCTTAAGGCACTCGTAAGGCTAGCTTGGATCTCCCCTGAATAATTACGCAAAGCTGGCCAGACTCCTCCAACCCCCTTTCTATCGTTAAAATGCATAATTTAATGAAAAAATGGCGTTGAAAAAAATCTGTATTGTTTCAAACATTATCAATCGCTGGTAGGAGATCATAAATAATAACAGTTGTATTGAAAAAATAACCAGTTTTTAAATTTAAAAAGTTCCGAAAAAATTACATTTTAACAAAAAAATATTATAGGTCAAAAAAAAAAAAAACGAAATTTGGACTAGTCAGTTCTTATATTATCGAAATTCCCTCTTTCTCGATAATAAGCGTTTGTCTTAAGTAAGGCAGCGCTTGATCCCCCCTCCCCCCCCCTGGGGGG